GAGTGGTCTCTTACGGGAACGCGGAGCCACAGGGCTATTGTGACACAGAGAGAGGGGGCGGGCAGCACCCATTGGATGTGAGGGGGCTCAAAGTGGGTAGGGACCACTTGCCCAGCACCAAGATGCAGCTGGCTCTGGGGGGGAGACCATGGCAGCTGTTCAGCTGTCACTTCATGCTGCAGGAGGAGTGCTCACCTGGCACTGAAATGCAGCCACCTCTGGGGTGAGGTACGGGGGCTCTTTATACAAGGATTGCTCACCCAGCGCTGAGATGCGGCCACCTCTGGGGCATGGGAGCTGCGCTGCTGCATAGCTCTTTAGGACAGGAAGTGAAGGAAAAATCAGTCACGTCGTGAAAACACAGGGAAATGTAGGGAGGCAGAGCAGGTATTAGGCAAGGATACGGTGGCTAACACACTGACCACGTGCCCTTGGGGGGCCAAGTCACACACCTCTCCCTTTGGTGCCTCAATTTCCCCCTCTGTAAAACAGGGGTGATGATTCTGCCCCCGCTCAGCTGGCAAGCACTAGGGGCAGGGGGGCCACCACTCAAATGCAGGAGTGCTCGACTCCCCGTGGGCTCTGACGCTGAACAACGTGACGCCCGGGATTGCAGGCGTGTGAAACAAGCCAGGACAGGGTGCTGCATTGACTGAGATGCACAACGCTGAGCCCTGTCCCCACCCCCCCAGCTCAGCCCCGGCCCACGCAGTCCCTCTGGGACAGCCCCATGGGCGAATTCCTGGCCCAGTGCGGCGCAAAGGAACGTTTCTCAGCAAGTCGAGGCCTCATGGGCAATTAGCGGATTAAGGGGATCCGATCCCACCCACTCTGAGTCACGGGCTGGTTGGCGCCTAGACCAGTCTGGCCTGCCCCCCGCGCAAGGCAGGAGGTGGTAGGGCTGGAATGCTCACACACAGGATGTCGAGACAATGTGGGGGTGGGGGGCACATGCCAGGCGAGCAGGTGACCATGTGGCCTCGCCCGCTAACACATGGCGCCGTGGCTCGCTGGGGGAGCGGGGTATGGAACCCGTTGCCGCTGGTTCAAAGCCAGGCCAAGTCCCAGGCTCACGAGCCCTGCCTGGCTCGTCGCTGCCCCCTCTGCCCTGCATGGAGTGAGTTTGATGCAGGACACGTGCCCACGTTATAAAGCTGACCCCAGCCAATGCCACAGCACCGCAGCTCCCCTCCCCCCATCCCTGGAGGGCGTATGGCTGGGGCGGGGGGTGGGGGGCACTTGCAGACGCCCGGAGCCTGAATTCAATCACTCTTGGTGCTGCCTGAGAACTTTGCTTGGGAGTAGGTAACAGCCCCACGGACAGAGGGGAAACTGAGGCATGGCATGGGGAAGGGACTTCCAGGCATCCTGACTCCCATGCCCCTCCCAGAGCTGGGACTGGG